AGCTCAAGACAAGACAAGGAAAATGATTATCTAAACTCTTTTTATGTCTAAAGCTTTTTCTTATTATAGTGCTTCTCTTACTATATTTTTCATTCAAGAAGCTGATTTGAGCGTTTAACACCCTCACTAGCTCTCTTGACGATCTTTCTTCTTTTGCAGTTTTCTAGGACATCTCGAGAGGAGCATTTGATAGGAGACTCGAGATGTTCAAGATATCCACGAAAGCACATTTCATCTACTTTCTACCAAGCTACACATCTTTCATATCCCAAAATCTACATTAACCTAAATACTTACCTAATAATATTACTGTCATCGTCAATTACACCCTCATTTCTCTTATTCAGTCGTTGCTCCATTGGCGTAGAGCCTCCAAGGCTTAAGTCAGACACTTGGTCTTTATATTAAGGCCTGAGACTAGAGCTAATTTTTAATGAGAACAGAGCTAATTTGTTGTTGGGCTGTGAGGGATTTTTTGATGGGGGAGTTTCGTTTTTTAAAATATATATAATTACATAATATTAAATATTGTTAGGGTGCGTTTGGTTATTAATGGAAGATAAATTAACTTGAAGATTACTGAAAATGTTTAAAGAAATGTGTTTGGTTGGTTGAAATAAATTGGTGGGTATGTTATATAATTTACTAAATTGCCATCATTTTTAAATATTAATATAATAATATTATTATTATTATTTTTGAATAATTTCTTTTAACCCCCTACATTTCAGATTTAGCTAAAACACCCTAGTAACAAAAAAAGTTTAAAACTTAATAAAAACACCCCCACCCACCCCAAGCCACTATCGATGGCTTGCCACCACTGCTGTCGACTATGAAAGTGGAGATCTGGTCGTGAAACGATGGCTGTTTCACGGCCAAATATCTAGCTTTTCACGGCTACATATTTGGCCATGAAACGGCCACAAATTTTGTCGTGAAAGGTCAGATCTAGTTGTTTCCAGTCAGAAACAACTTTATCGGCACACGGCAAGCCAAATATGGTCGGTCGTACACTATTCCATTGTAACCAGTGGTCGTCGGCGGTGGTTTTCGACGGTTGGCAATGGTGGCTAGATCTAGCCACCACCCTTGGGTAATTTTGTACAATTTCAGAGGTATTTATATCTTAAAAACTTTGTATATAAGGATAAAATAGTCAATTGATATTTTTGTAAATTGTTTTTTAAACAAGGGCATTATTGTCTTAAAATTTTATTTATAAAGGGTAAAATTGTAGTAAAAATAAGATAACCAAGTAATCTTAAAATACGTAAGAAAATGAAAGTAATTAGATTACCTCATATATTATTAACAATAACTATTATTAATAACCAAACATGGTAATCAAGTAATATAAAATAGCATTATCTCAATAATCCCAACCCCTAACCAAACACACTCTTAGGGTTATCATTTTCCTTGATCCCTTGTTAAAGGAGGAAGTCATTTCAATTGAGAAGAGTACCATTTGCGAATATTTCATAGAATATCTTATTAATATCTCATATCATTCCTATTATATTAGATGCCAAATTCAGGCACTAAAGTCATGAACCATGCTTTTTTTTTTTTTTTGGTTAAAATTATTATTCAAAGCTCCTTACAATAATAAATTCATTCATAAGCTTAACTTATATATTTATTTATTTATATTTATAGTTGCAATGTTTTTGAACCCTTGCCCCATCTCGCCCCTATTATATTAGATGCCAAATTCGAGTACTAACTAAAGTCATAAACCCTATCCCTCCCCGTCACGGTGGAGACTCAAACCTGGGACATTGCCAAAACTGAATGAGCTCCCTTCTACTAGGGCAAGCCTTTAGTGGTACTTTTATATTTAATTAGAATATTAGAATATAATTTAATGTATCTAACTTTAGTTTCAGACTGTATGCACTATTTATAATATTTAATATTATATAATTATATATATCTGAAAAAAAAAACCGAAAAGGCTACATGGTCCACTTTGAACCGAGCAAGCCCCCTTTCAAGTTCGCCCGTGTCTGTTATTGGAGGATTTACTGATTTTCACCTCTAAAAAGGTAATGATTTTTAGCCCCTACATTTTTAATTTTTAGTCAGAGGCCCCACTTTTTTTTTTTTTTTTTTTTTTGTGACAAGTTTAACCTTAAGTAAATTACTATAAAGGAAACTATAAATTCTAATTACTCTCATACTTTATTTTATAATTTATGGTTTCCTTCTGTTTATTCCTTTTCGTAAAATTTAAAACTCACAGTTTGTTCTTTCCAATTGCTTTAAAATAATAATAATCACTTTTTACTCTCCGTCGTATTTAAATTTTTTTGGTGAAATCCAAATATGATTTTTTATATTCTCATCTTTCTTTTTCCTATACAATGATTCACTCTAAGTATGTTTTTTCTTCTTAAACTTGAAGTTATCAACTAATCCATTTTTTCTATAAAAAAAAATGACAAAACTTCTGATTTAACTTATTATCACTTAGATGAAATTCTTTGGAGTAATTAGAGTTTTCTTAGGAATACATGATTTTATACTCAACAGTTGTTAGCTGATGGAAGAAGTATAGAAAATATAGAAAATCTATTTAGTAATTAAGAAGACAAAAACTTGAGTTTAGGAGACTTAAAAGGAAAAAATGAAAATTAAATATATGGATATTTATTATCTTTAATTATAATTGTAATATTTCAATGAATCTTTACAAACTTTAAACAAAAATAAAAATAGGAGATAATCTAAATCTAAAAAATTAGGAAATGGAGGGTTGAAAAAAAAACCTATTTAAGTCCAAAAGGGTAACTTTGAGGGTTTAAAAAGAGATTTTAAAATATAAATAGGGTGTTGCTGATAAAAAAAAAAAAAACCATGAAAATCTCACTTGGTTCATTATTCTGATATTTTTAGAATAATATTTTGAAAAAAGTAAAATTGGATGGTTATTATGATGTAGGATTTGAAAATTAACAAAATACCCCCTAAGTTTGTTTATTTACTAAACACCCTTGTAATAAGACATTGAAAATTAACAAACACCCCAACCCACCCATTGAATACCGACAGTCGGCCACCACCGCTGACGGGTGGCCGGAGTTGTTGTATCGGCGCACGGCTGACTGGATCTGGCCGGTCATGCGTCAGTATGGCATTTTCTGCCTAGATCTATGGTGGATCTAAACCTTTTCGCAGTGGTGGCCGGAATTTGGCAAATGTGGGTTGGTGGGGTGTTTTTGTCAATTTAAAAAAAAATTGGGGGGTGTTTAGTTAAATTAAAAAATCTAAGGGGTTTAAAAAGAATTAACTAAAATAGAATAATATTTTGAAAATAAGGAAATAAATATGTATTTTGGATAGGATAGGGAATAAGGTAGGGAAAAATTGTGTACCAAAGGGCCAAAGATTTTCATTTTCAACTGACATGATCATATCATAAACTTATAATTTTATCAAGATTTGATTAAGATATTGTAGATGCAAAAAATCTACCGTCATGAAAATAGGGTCTGATCCCGTGAGGTTGAGGCTACTGACAATCTGCTAGACCTGCACACATGAAAAGGCAAGCATGAAGCTTCCGAAAAACACCGGGGTGGTGTTTGCCGTAGGCGCTCTGACGCTAAAGTCAGCAAGACTGAAAGAGATTATTTGATAAGAATTAAGGAGATGAAGAATTACCAGGAGTCTTGTCATAAGCTAGGACTACGGCGGAGGCGTCGGGTTCTCGGGAGTAAGAACTTTAGGAGCAAATAGATGGTTTTAAATAGTGTAGATTGACTATGGGAGATTGCATCCCTAATGAGAGGACAAACCTTTGTTTTTATAGTGAACCCAAGGGGTTAGAATCCTAGTAGGACATTGAGTCCTCTTTTTTGGGAGATAATTCCTATCAAGAAAGAAATGTGATTTCTTGACCTTATCAGATTAAGTTTAATAGTTTGAATAAGATTTGAAATCTTAGTAGGACACTAATTTCTATTTTGGGAGATAATCCCTATCATGAAAGAAATATGATTTCTTGACCTTATCAGATTAAGTTTAATAGTTTAAATGAGATTTATAATCTTAGTAGGACACTAAGTCCTATTTTGGGAGATAATCCCTATCATGAAAGAGATATGATTTCTTGATCTTATCAGATTAAGTTTAATAATTTAAACAAGATTTATAATCTTAGTAGGACACTAAGTCCTATTTTGGGAGATAATCCCTATCATGAAAGAGATATGATTTCTTGATCTTATCAGATTAAGTTTAATAGCTTGAGTAAGATTTGAAATCTTAGTAGAAGAGGAAATAGAATGGGATTCTGATTTCCTATTTATAGACTGTTGTAGGCTAATGGACTCAAACCTAGTTTATCTTAACTTATAGGATAGCCAAACTCATAGAGTGGGTAGGTCGCAAGGTGATTTTAAGCATAGGCTCAATCAGGATTGGATTGAGGCCTTGAACTGTGACATATTTATTTCGTTATTGGGCCTCGTCAAGCCCAAGACGATTTTTGCCCTAACAAATATGACTTTTGGAGAAAAATCTTGCTAAGCTTTAAGATGATAAACAGAGGCATGAAGCGTGTAATCTATAGATTCATTTATCGCCAACTAATATGGAAAAAAAGTTCATTGTGATTTGAAGATGTCTTGTCTGTTTCTGGGCCGCCTACCAGCTATAATGAACTAAGAATACAAGTTCAAGTAATGAACGGCAGATACTTTTACCTCTGAATATCTATAAGATAATATTATATAAATTTTCATTAATAAAAGGAGCCAATGCCACGCTATTGCTTATACGACCAAGTCTCAGTTCTTTTGTTAACGTGTTCGATCTGTTAATAATGTCCATTATCAGTTCGTGGAAATGAATCATGGTTGCTGGCGGCTGACAAATAAGTTGATTTCTAGCTAATACAGTCAAAATATGCAACTGAGATATATGTCAACTCTTAATTTGGAGCTGGGTTATAAATTATAGCTGGGTTATCTTGAAGAAGCCCTGTCTTAGGTATGGCTCTCTACACCATTCCAATGTGGCTCTTTCTTATTCTATTCCCTCTACTGCTTTTTTTACTCTTGAAAAAGATTCAATCACTCAAAATACTAAACAAGCGGCTCCCACCAAGCCCTCCCAAGCTTCCAGTTCTAGGAAATTTACACCAACTAGGAGAGTTGCCTCATCAATCTTTGAGGCAACTCTCTAACAAATATGGACCGGTCATGCTTCTAAAACTTGGTCGTATACCCCTTACTGTAATCTCCTCCGCTCAGGCGGCAAGAGATGTCTTAAAAAATCATGACCTTGACTGTTGTAGCAGACCACCCTTGACAGGAACCAGGAAGCTTACTTATAATTATTTAGATATGGCTTTCTCACCATATAGTGAGCACTGGAGAGAGATAAGGAAAATATGTGTTCTTGAGCTTTTTAGCCTGAAGAGGACGCAGTCATTTCAGTTCATTAGGGAAGAAGAAACCGCTTTTCTAATCAATTCGATCTCAGAATCATCATCATCTTCATCTTCTGTTGATCTTTCGGAGAAGATGTTTGCTCTTACAGGAAGTATAGTATTTAGGATGGCTTTTGGGAAGAGATTTCGAGGGAGTAAATTTGATAATCATAGATTTGAAGAATTGGTTCATGCTGCTGAGTCTGTAGTAGGAGGTTTCACTGCAAATGAGTGTTTTCCTTACATAGGTTGGATTATTGACAGATTGACCAGTTATCATACAAAACTTGAGAGAGTTTTCCATGAATTGGATACTTTATTCCAGCAGATAATTGATGATCATCTTAAACCTGAGAGGTCAAAACAAGAGGTGCAGGAAGATTTTATCGATGTGATGCTGAAAATAGAGAGGGAAGAAACGGAATCTCGGCTCTCGAAAGATCATATAAAGGCTGTACTCCTGGTAAGTAACTTTCCAGATAAAACACTTTCTAATCGCTTCAATTATTTTTAGGCCAAATTCGGTCCTTGCGCGTCTCTACACTATTAGATGCATATTGCAATTGCTTCAATTAATTTTAGGCAAATTATGGCAGTCTGTTGATTTTCAACTTTCGATTAAGGTTTTGGCTAGATATTTTGTCCTTGTAGAAAACATTGATGTTACGATCCCATCCGTAACAAGCCTTTTCACTACCAACTTTAGAAAACAGAATTATGTTTCTTAATTGCTCATTACTAGTTAGACCATGGGCGATGGGCTTTAAGAACTTGTGTTCACTGTTCAAGCTAAGATAGTTTTTGCTCTATATCTATGTATTTACATGAGCCCCACCACTTTTGTTGTAACACCTCTTATAACCAAAGCCTTTCCTACTATTAGCGCTATCACTCACGGCTCTGGCTATAAATCACCTAATGGTCTTGATTATTTTATGAAATTAAGTAATTAATTAAGCTCCTAATTAACTCTATATATTTTGTTATATCAGAATATGTTTTTGGGTGGAGTAGACACGAGTGCAATTACTGTGATCTGGGCAATGGCAGAGCTAGCCAAGAATCCAAGATTGATGCATAAAGCACAAGACGAAGTTAGAAAGTGTATCGGACAGAAAGGAAGAGTAACTGAATCTGACATCGACAAACTTGTATATCTGAAGATGATAATCAAAGAAACTTTGAGATTACACCCTCCTGCCCCACTATTAATTCCAAGAGAAGCTATATCCCAATTCAACGTTAATGGATACAACATTTACCCAAAAACACTAATCCAAGTTAACGCTTGGGCAATTGGAAGAGATCCTAAATGCTGGAACAACCCTGAAGAATTCTCCCCAGAAAGATTTATGAATAACTCCATTGATCTTAAAGGGCAAAATTTTGAGTTTTTGCCATTTGGATCTGGTCGAAGAAGTTGTCCCGCTATGCATATGGGATTAATAACATCGGAACTTGCACTTGCAAATCTCTTGTATTGTTTTGACTGGAAATTACCCAATGGAATGAAGGAGGATGACCTGAACATGGACGAGTCAGCTGGGGTGAGCCTTACAGTTTCAAAAAAAATTCCTCTCATCCTTGTGCCAGTCAATTACCTCCAGCAGCCGTGAGTAAATAAGACAGGGCTCTAGATCTCTATCTAATAATGTAAAATAATAATATGTCAACAAGCAGTTTTGGAGTCGGGCCTTCACTTGGTGCGGTTTGTGAATTGACTTTGCAGCTGCAAAACTTAATTTGTTTTTGAACTTGTTCTAATAATCTTTCCTTGTAGCCTTAGAACTTCTCGGGGGGATGAGTACCCATCTTCAAATCTCTGCAATATTCTATATTTGATCTATAAATTTGGAAAAATATGCCACATGTTCCGTTTATATATAAATTTTGTTTTTTCAGTGAACTTTTTTTAGTAAGTTTTTATTTAAACAATAGACATAGCTTTAGATCATAAGTTTGGATCGGATTTTTTTTTATTTTTTATTTAAATAATTCCGGAATCTTTTACCTGGTTTTACTAACTTGAGTTTGAAACTGAAACCTCAAAGAACTTTATAATTTTGGAAAAATTGAAAATAATGACTTTTGATCATGGAAATATCTATAGCAACACTCAACCTAAACTTTAAAGATGTTTGGTTAGATATGATCAAATTGGTGGGTATTTTATATTTATATGTTTAGCTGGGAGGAATAAAAGATTTATAGGAGATTCTTTTACTAAATTGCCCTTATGTTTTAATAATATATTATTGTTGTTGTTGTTATTAATTTGTATTTTATCATTGAATCCCCAACATTTTAGGTTTAGCTAATTTTGAAATTTAACAAAAACACCCCAGCCACCTTCCCATCACTGCTAATCGCCGACCACAATAGCCAGCCACCACTGGAATGGCGCACGATCAGCTGGATCTGGTCGACCGTGTGTTGATCTGGTCGAAAAAAACCATATCTATTATAGTCGTTTCTAACCAGATCAATGGTCATTAACAACCATATCAGTTGCTGTTAATAGTCATGGATCTAGCCGTTAACGGCTAGATCTATTCTGACGTCGTACACCATGAATCTAGCCAAAAATAGCCAGAATATATTTGGCTGTTTCCGGCCAGATCTACTGTGATTTGGCCAGATCGGTGCACAACCAGCTAGATCCAACCAGTCGTGCACTGTTCTGACAAATACCAGCGGCGACCAACAGTCGTCTTGGGTGGCTGGGTGTTATGTAAATAGTTTTTAGTATAAGGGCATTATGATGAAAAGAAATTATTACCTAGGGATAAGATTAATTTTATGTAAAATGAGGGGTATTTCTATCAAAAAAAAATAATTATAGGGTATAAAAGTAATTTTAATCAATTGGTCAATTTTGATTGACATACGAAGGCATCTCTGCCTGAAATTTTTAATAATTAAGGGTAAAATAGAAACAAAATTAAGATTACCTCGGTGATGAAAAAATAATACCCCTTCACTTGGTAGTTAGATTATCCCCAAGTCTACCTACAGTAACTACTATTGATATTTTAAGATCATCGGAATCTTTTTATTTTTAAACCAAACATGAGAATTTTCGGATTAAAAGATAGATTACTAGAGTAATCTTTTATAAACCCCAACAAAACCCACCCTAAGAGAACAATCCATAAATCAATAATCGCAAACTTGTGGTTGAAGATGTCTTAATTGTCGGTTTCCCTATTTCTTAGAGATTAATTCCAAATGTATATATAATATACAAAAAGAAGACCCTGCAGAAATGGGGTATCTCTAGATGCTGGGAAAATTCGGGTACTACATTGCTGAGAATTTGGGATTTCACTATTTTGCCCCTAGGAAAATTCGGATACTACAAAGGCCCTTTGCCTTTGGTATGTAGAGTTAGGATGTTATCTTTGTAAACCAATTATGGTGCTCACGCTTTTAAAGTCTCGTAGGGTCCTACTGCTACATATAACAGTGCTACTGTTTTTTGCTCTAGGGTTTGACTAATGCGTCACAGCTTTTTGGGCGATTGGATTTTAAATTTTGAAATTGTAGTTTTATGGCGGTTGAACTTCTACACACGTGGGCGATTGATGAGAACGCATTTATGCATCTATGACTGCCACATTTGTCTCTCCATAACTACTGCTAGGCATCTGGGTCTCATGGTCGCGACACCTGGCAACTACGACACACTTTTTAATCCTTGACCTTGTGATCTATCTGACAGTTGGGATTTGACTCTGATATTTCCTTTATAAAGCTTGCCTTGCTGTTTCTTGCTATTTTGCGATTTTTTTAATTTCTTTGCCCGCTAACTTTTGTTTGTGGTTATCCTTCGCTTCAGCAAAAAGCACTTTTCGATCAAATCACCTCGTCTGTCATCTTTTTCAGGTTATTTTTCTGGCTTTCCTTACTTCATCATGACTTTGTGCTCTATCCTTGGAGATACACTTTCGAAATTGCATGTTTCTAAGGTTTCCAACTTTCTGCCATTTTGTTTGTTGATTGATCTTGCTCAAATAAGGGGTGGAGCTTGCTTCTTGTGTCCATTTGCGTGCTCTTGCTTGGTTTGGGTTTGTGATGCTTACCTTGAAACCCTATAACTTAGATTAAATTATGTCTAAGGTAAAGGATTCTCAAAATAGGACTAAAGCTTTGTCTAGTGAGGAGAAGAGCGGTGGTGCGTTCTTGAGTTCGGAGACCACTAGCGTTGAAATTATCAGTAGCACAAAAGCCCTTGTTAAGAGAGGGAGTCACAATGTGTGTCAAGGGGTAGGAGTTCAGACTTCCCTTTCCAAACGAGTTGAGACAATTTCTTGTAGAGACTGGGATAACCCCTGGTCAAATTGCTATAAACACATGGAGGGCGATTATGGCTTGTAGAGTTTTATGAAGGAGCTATTTTTCCTATGAGATTACATTGGCTAAGTTTAAAAGCCTTTACTAGTTAAAGATTGTGCCAAGAGATAACTCCCATGGCTGGTATTACATGGAGGTGGCAACTAGAGAAGCCAATATGTAGGTGCACTAGCCAATATTATTTGTAATTTTAACTTTTTGTTATATCATGTTAAGTATAATAAAAGGTGTATTTACTATATCATGTGATTCATAATATTCTATGTATTAATATATATCCTTAGAATGGTTGTGTCATGATAAATGAATAAATTGTTTTAAATCTTGATTGTGAAGACCCTATGATCACATGTGGTGGCTATTTCAAAAATGTTCGTAGTCTTAGTATTATTTTGAACAATGGCACATGTCAAAGTTGTTTGGTGACAACTTGGTGCAATGAGTGGGTGCTTGTTGTATGCAAGTTCACTAGATTGACCTACCAAAATGATTTCATATAGATGGTAACCTTAGTGTTTATGTAACATATCTTCTAACGGATGGTGGTGCATGTGATCTTTAGACTTGAGATCACCAGAGCGTCGTTTGTAAATATTGGTGCAGGTTGATGCTAGCTTAACGTAGTTCTATTTAGGATTATCAATACAGTGGTGGTTGGCTATATTAAGATGTACACTAACACTATGGCTATGGTGGATAAACAAATAATTTATCACTCCTCGGTACAGGAGAAGTTATCTCATAATGCTATTCAGTTAATTACAACGATCGTAAATCTATGGCTACAGTGGAATTGAGTTGTTGCTCAAATCCAATTTTATTTGGTTGTTGTTCTAATAACTAGAGGTGCAAAAGTAACCAGCCCGGCCCGACCCGACCCGGCTCGCGGTGGGTTACTTCTTTTGGCGGGTTGGTCCTAACCCGCCCGCCAACAAAGGTAGGCCGAGTTAGGCCCGCCATTTTTGGGGTAATGGCTGGCCCAACCCGGCCTGCCAAACCTAACCCGCCGGGTTAGGTTGCGGGTCAGGCCGGGTTAACCCTATTTTTTTATTTTTTTATTTTTGTTTTATTTAGTTAACTTTTCAAATAAATAATTAACGATTTATAAATGAATAAATGTAATTGTTTTTAGTTAACTTTTCAAATATCAATAATTCAATTAAATTAATTTTTTTTTATTAACATTTCAAATATTAATTCAATTTTAATACAATAAAATTGTAATATAAGAAAAATTAGATTTATTCATTCAATTGAAGAAACTTTAGCATAAGAATGAATTATATTTTATACAAAACATGGAAATTTAAGAATAAGACTTCAGTATTTAATTTTTTTATATTTTACGTACCATAAAAAATAATAATAACAATGTGTCAAATATTACGAAGTTTTATACATTTTAATATTTATGATTTAGAAGTATAGTTTAATATTATTGTGTAAAATTATTTGTAAGAGTTCAATCATAATAGTTTAATTAAAAGAATTAAAAAAATGGGAGAAACTTGAAAAAAATAATTAATTTTTAATTTTTAATTTTTTTTGGGCCAACCCTATTGTAAACAAATAGCAACCCGGCCCGCCTGGGGGTTGCATGCGGGTTGGGTTCAACCCGGCCTGCCTCCTCTCTAATGCGGGCCAGGTTAGGGTTGACCCGCCTAACCCGGCTCATTTGTTTCACCTCTACTAATAATTGAATGTCAATATGTCAAGGTAATATATTTGAAGTTGACACTATTTTTGTACTTCAAACCTTGATGGAATAATAGATGATAAAGAGATTGAATTGCACGATAACCATACCGTTGTTAGGTTTCAATTCTTCGCTAATCCTTATATGTTAGGTAACCATGATGCCTTGCTAGAGGTCAATCTTGGTTTGTCTATAGTGAGACAATTAATTGGTGGTTAATCACGATACTACTTATTGCCAACATTAAAGGGAGCCAACGGGTCACACACTTATAAGACTATTTAAGGTTTATAATGAATGGTTCATTTCGTCCTTTTTGGTGAAAATGGGATTTCGTCATTTTGGCGAAAAAGTATTTGAGTAATTTTGTTGTGAAATTAAGTTTGCTGAGGTTGTTACCTAATCCCAATATTTATATTTGAATTTAATTTGCAAAATTGTATATTTATATGTTCATTCCAATAAATACAGTAAAACCTCTCTATAGTGATACTCTATATAGGAATAAACTCTACATAATCATAAAAAATTATATTCCCAATTTGAGATAGTTATAAATAAGAATAAACTCTATTTGTAATAAGTTATAATTTTTCTAATTCCCGTCTTAAGGAAAGTTGCCTCCACATAGTAATAATTATCTGTATATTGCAAAAAAATATATGGTATGT